CCCCTACCCCCGGCCACCTCCTTTCTACTCTCTGCTTCTATGAGTTCAGCCTTTTTAGATTCCACATATAAGTGAGAACATACACTATTTGTCTTTCTCTGTCTGACTTATTTAACTTAATACCCTCACGGTCTATACATGTTGCAGACGGCAGGATTTCCTTTTTAGGCTGAGTCATATTCCTGTGTGTGTGTGTAGATACACAGGATGTATACACACTTAACAGCTGATCGCTCAATTAGTGTTTCTTGCTTTTCAGATTTAACCCCTTGAAATTAATAATTATTCAAAGTGTGTATACATCTTTTGGGACACTTATATATAGATAAATATAAGTATCCCACATTTTCTATATTCGTTCTCTCATTGCACCCCCTTTGTGTGGGGGTGGGGAGAAGAGCAGAGCGCCAGGGGGTTGGATTGGTGAAGACCCAGGGTGCTCAGGAGTGGGTCAGTGTGGGCATCGGGGAGGACCCCTGGAGGGAGAGGGGCTCTGCTCTGTGTGGACCAGCTCCCAGGCCCTCAGCGGCGACGGAGAAGAGGCAGGGTCGTGACCTCGATGCCCCGTCTCCACGTTGCTGCTGTCTGTCTTGTTAACCTGTGACCGTGGCTCTTGCAGCCTTGGAAGCATTTGTCTCTGCCGCCAAGAAGCTGCCGCGGGAGGACGCGTGCGACGTGGTGGAAGGCTACATCAAGATTTCCGTGGAGTGTGCCGAGGTGTTCCAGCTCCTGAGTGGGGAGAAGCGGCCCGAGGGGGAGGTATGTCCTTCCTGCCTGGCCGGGGTGACACTGCAGTCCCGCTGCCCCCTGTTAGCCTGAGGAGGAGCGTGAAGGGCTATGCGGCTTTCCAGGGCAGCCCCGCCTCTGCCGAGGGCCCCGCCTCCGCCCTGCGCCCGAGGAGCACACCGTTCGTTTCTGCACCGCAGCTCCGGGAGCACCGGGAGCGTGTATTTTAGTGGGAAGCGCTAAGTCCGTGTCCGCGAGTAACTCCAGAAGGAAGGGTCCTGGATTCTTTTTTTTTTTTTAACCCTCACCTGAGGATATTTTTTCCTTTGATTTTTTTTTTTTTAGAGAAATTGGAGGGGAGGGAGGATGGGAGAGAGAGAAACACCCATGAGAGAGGCACCTGGATTGGTCGCCGCCCCCACACCCCCGACCCGGGCGGGGTCGCACCTGCATCTGAGGTACCTGCGCTCGACTGGGACTCGAACCTGCAGCCCTTCAGTCCGCAGGCCAGCCCTGTCCACTGAGCCACGCTGGCTGGGGCCCGATCGTGGATTCTTAACCCACGGCACTGGGTTTCAGTGGGGTTTGTTTTAACACAAGGGAAAGAGGTAAAAATTGTGTGTCTCAGATGCAGACACACTGCGTTACTTCCTCCCTGGTTCCAAAGAGGCTCAAAATCGGGGGTGTTTAGGAACCTGTTGAATCTCAGGATGACGGTGGGAAGGCTGGGGACACGAACGTCCCCACAGCGGTGAGGCCCGGGCGTAAATGGAGGTTTCTCTCTTCCTTTCACTCAGTGTGGTTGTAAGCGGGCGACTCTCTCTTCAGCTCGACTGTGGGGATAAGACCGACTCCAGAGCCCAGCTGCCGCCTTCCTGCCTTTGGCCCAGGGTCTGGGGAGGTCTCATCCTGCGAGTGACCGTGGCCGAGACAGGAGCAGGTCTGTAGAGGGGGAAGAAATAAGAAGATTCCTAGCGTTTCAATCCTCTCTTTGCAGCTGCTGTTAATATTTCAAGCTTTTGAGGCCATATTGTTGCGGACAGCAAGCGATCTTTCCCATTTTCACATGGTGGGAACCAACATCGTGAAGAAGCTGCTGAATAACCACATGAAGCTCCTCTGCGAGTCCCTGTACGCCTCGGGGTACAGGTGAGCGCCCCTCCTTGGCGGGCCTGGGCCCCAGCCGCTCCGCCCGGCTCCCTGGCGCACCTTTCACCTCTCCTCCTCCCAGGACACGCAGCCTGTGAGCCGGGCTCGGCCCCTCCTGCTGAGGGCCCCTGCTCTCCCGGACCCTCCCCGCGGTGCCCCCACAGCCACCCTGCCGCTCTCCCTGCTGTGCTGGGGACACCGGTCCTCCTGGACGTGGCTCGCCCTGCCCGGAGATCATCGTGGCTCTTTCCCTCTCTGCCTTCAGGGCTTTGCAGAAGTGTCCTCTCTTGGAGGCCTTTTTTGTTTTTTGTGATTAATCCTGATTGTTAGAGAGAATGGGGGCGGGGGG